TCAGCGATTAAGGTGAGGGCAAACTATACATCATTTCATGGTTTTATTTAAATTTACTTACTTTTTCGATTGAAACCAAATGTATTGTTGGTGCATGCATAACAATTTTAAACTTCGTGTTTTCCCGGATTTGTCCAAATCACTGGTAAACCGAATGGTAACGAAAATCGTTTTTTGTCCACCAAAAATTCATCGCACTAATGCACGAAATACATGTGAATTCGGGAGTGTATTTATTTTGTGCAGGTTCAAATTGCAAAAAGTACCATTTATAGCATGCTAACATGCTTTTTAATTTTTTTCATCCTTAGGAGTTTCCGAAGACAATGATATGGTGAATAAGTTTTTCGCAAAATTTTCGATGTTTTTTATCAATTAATATGACAGTAATCGCGCGCGTAGATTTTCGGTTTGTGTTTTTTGGTTCCCAACTTACGTGAAATAGACGCGGTATAGATCGCCGCCTATTTGAAAGCATTACTCAGTCACTTTGACTTTAACGAACAACAGCTTTTACAGTACAAAAAAGGTGTTAAAAAACCATTCGTACCAAAGAAACTGCAAAAATATGCTAGAGTGGGATTGAAAGGAACACAAATTCAGGTCCAAGCAGTGTATAAACTACTATTATAAAAAAATATTACGAAATAAAATATGAGTTGTAACGCAAAACCACATATCTGAACAATCAGTTGTATGGGAGCTATATGTTATAGTGAACCGATTTCCATGATTTTCAGAAATAGCTAAGGTAATATCAAAATACAGTCACGTGCAAAATTTTAGTAAAATATCCTTAAAACTGAGGTAATTATTAACAAAAAACCTAAAATTTAAGCAGATATTCAAGCACCGTTATCTCGAAAACTAGAGCCAATCTGGAAAAACGGAGGACGCTATTGAATTTAAAGGATCCCAGTTAAGTAAGATCAGTTATAAAAACCTTTGCCCAGAAAAAAATTCAAAACCTGAGCACAGTGTTTTAAACGAAGAAAAATTCACTTTCAGAACTCTAAAGCTTCCCCCATAAATATCTCAAAATTTTGACGTGGTACGGATTTTCTCAAAACGCCATCGTAATCTAGAGGCCAAAATTAAGTTTACGTATTTGGCCGCTTAGCTGTGATATGTTTGCCTCCCTACTGTGTAATGGATTCAACAATTACAACTAGCCCAGTAAAATTAGACTTTTTCTTAAAAAAAAATTTGTAACAGCAATTGTTTATGCAGTTTACTTCAATTTGACATGTAGATCATGGCTCCACAGTCTTGCCACCAAATTTCGTTTGGAAACATTCCGCCATCTCTGAATATTTTTTTTTTTAGGTTTTTTGCGATTTGTCAGTTTATTTTGCATTTTTTGTAAAAAATGGTTAAATACAAATATGTAGAGAATTTAATTTCCCACACTTGTTGTATAGAAGGCTTTTTAAAAATAGCATTTTTTATTCTAAAAAATTAGCAAAACTGCGAAAAAATTTTAAACTCTCACGGTTCGTAAATTAGTTTTTTCACAATATTCAAAATATCAAACCATTTTCGTTTAAAATATAGCTCATTCTATAATAAAAACCAAATAAATCATTCTTGCAACTTAGTACAGAATTCATAAAAATGAATCAAAGTTAAAAAAATTTCCATCAAAATTTCAAACTTTTTATTCAGAATTTTTAGAAAAATTTTCGGTATCCAGTTTTGTAGTATAATAAGTGCAAGTTTCAAAATGACTGCTGTTTTTTTAGAATTTTTTTTGTCTATGGTGTTGCGCATTTTCTTCCATATAAAAATAGATTTTGTTCATGCCTTATATGGAAACAAATGTGTAACACCCTCGACAAAAAAAATTCTAAAAAATCAGCGGTAAGTTTTAGCTACATGAAACTTGCACTTTATTATACTAAAACTGAACGGGCTAGAAAACTGCTTATCGACCTTTTTTCTAAAAATTCTGAATAAATATTTTGAAATTTTGATGGAAATGTTTTTAAGTTTGACTCATTTTTATGAATTTTGTACAAAGTTTTCAAAAATTATTTATATGGTTTTTGTTATAGAATGAGCTATATTTTAAATGAAAATTAACGAAAAAGATTTATGATGGAAAACATTTGGAATATTGTGAAAAAACTAAATTACGAATACTTCTGTGAGTGACTGTATATATACTTCATAATAAATTTGTGCCAAACGGACCTCAGAATCGGGTTCAGCGGGTCGAATTACATGTCGGCACGTGGGTCTGGTTAAAAGCACACACCACTTTTTTTGTGTGCTATGTATACTATGTACTTAAATATCTATATACGAGCTATTATTCTGATATTTTTGTTTACCTGGAAATCTTATTTTAAGTATAAAAACCAGCAAAAAAATTTATTTACTTAATTGGTAGGAAAGAAGCTATTTTGGTAGGTTTTTGAACCAGCTCTTGGTAAGAAATAAAGTTTATCAGTGGTAACCCTGATCGTTAGTGTCAGTGGAAACCATTTGCCTCCAGTGTATGTATGTGTTTCCTCGTATACGATTCAACGAAAGGTTCACGAATGGTTGTTTCCTGGGGTCGTTGGCCCTGCACTCTAAATCTGGTGGGATGACAACAGAATTATTCATCGACGTAGTCAAACATATACAATGTAACACTAATTGTGTGTTTATGTATATTTGCTGTTGAAATAAATATTTATATTTTATGTTTTATGAGATACCGTCTTGTTTTTTTTTAAGTTTATGAATGTATAAAATCTTAATATGTAGGTAAAATTGTGATGGTCAAACTCGCCCCTTTACAAGTTAAGGATGCCCCTTCCATGGGACAAATTTGACAAATTGATTTTTTTAAATGGCTGAATAACGTATATACGCGCTTATTTATAGCTTACTTGTTACTCGATTACTGAGATCAATAACGAATAGTTGCGACCAATTAATAAAATCAAAACTTTTTCTAAAAAGTATCCGAGAAATATGACCTCGTAAAAAAGGTGTCAAATCTTCCCCACTTTACCCTACATACATTTCGTTTTTGCTTGAGAAACTCGAAAAACAAGAATTTCAACTGTTTCAAGAAAGAGCACAAAGTACCACAACCCACGACATTTATCCGTATGTATTTTCTACAGATATGTACTATTTTAAAGACGAATTTTCGGCTCATCAAATTAGTTTAGTTTTTCGCGCAAGAAGTGGGCTACTGAACATAAATGCGAGAACATTCAAGAGCGTCGCATCCGCAGCTTGTCCAGTTTGTAACTTGGGGGAGTCAGAAAATACACTCCACGTTCTTGGTACATGTCCAATCTATAAAAACATACGCTTACGCTGCTTTGAGGGGACGGTTTTGAATCTGGCTAAAGTAATAAACATTTTAAATGGCTGTGATTACCGAACTTTCTACACTTAGGCTGCGTTTCTTCAAACTCATTTAAGTGGAAATTAACTTTAATTTAATTTTTTATTTAATTCTCATTTAAATTATTTTCAGTTTCAATAAGCTCTTTATTTAAGTGAGTAAAAAGTGGTTGTAAAACTGACTTGGCCAGCGAAAGCTTTCATTTGTACTGAGAGCTTTTGAAAGCTCTGGCACGCTGTGTTGTAAAAGCAGGGCTGGTATACAAGTAAGTAACAGATACACACAATTGTGGTGTGTGTATGTTGATCAGCTAATTAAACGTGTAACATCTCTGAGTGTGGTTATTCTGATTTAATATTCATTTAAGTGAAGAGCATATGTCACTTAAATCAAAATTAAAAACAAATTAAAATAGATTGGCTAAACCAAAATTTCGAAAATTAAAGTAATTTTCACTTAAATGAATCTGGTGAAACGCAGCCTTACTTACCATACTGTTTAAAGTTTAGGGAGTTAATTTTAACGGAATTCTCATAAAACACACTAAATTGTTGTTTCTTTTCTTCTTCCTAGTTTTTAAGTTCCCAGTATAAATTCCCGACTATCGACCTATTAGTCACAGCCGTATGTTCGAATTTGTCATCTGTCTATAAATATTAAACATTGATTGTATCTGAAATAATAAAAATGAAGAACATTTGACTACTACTACTAAAATTGGATGGGCTACAAAGCTGCATAATCAAAATATTTCTAAAAAATCGAGTTTAAAAGATCGAAATTTTTACGAAAGTTTGCTGATTTTTTTCAAATGTTGCACTAAGATTCAAACTTGGATTGATATGGTTTTTGTTAAAAGATATACTATAATTTTATAAACAACTAATTAAAATTAAAAAATATTAAGACAAATGATAAAATGTTGTCAATATTTGAGTGTCGTATAGTTATGACAAGGACTATACATTCAAAGTATCTACATACATACCATTGTTTTAATTTTTCAAGTTGACGTAGAGATTTACATGATTTCTTGTTCTATAAATAATATTGTGCAAGCCTAAAAATGGGATTATGATTCAAGATTAAAAAAAATATACAAAAATTTAAAAATTTGTTTTCAAATTTCTCATTTGAGGTAATATATTTTAAGCGAAATTTTACTTTTTCGAGCTCTGGGGGGTCGATCGCTCCCTCCCCCTGTTGCCGCCACTGCTCCCATTATAAAAATTATCACATATTTTGTTCTAGTGAGATTTTGGTAGCGGTAAGTTCTACATATGTATGTACTCAACTCAAATTTATATTTTTTGGATTATGACACTACTGAAGTAAATGAACGACCTGTAAATAGTGCCACCCTGAGGATTAAACCATTTGGGCATAGTTTTGTTGAAGTCCTTGTTATTTATTAGAAAAAGCGCTTACCACGCTTATTCTCCACACAATTTCCCAACTTTCCGTAGTCGCGTAAATGGAATTTTACTTGCCTTTCGACTAGCCCCTCAGTATTCGAAAAGATTGACACCATGAACAAATTTTAGTTTCCTAATTTCACTGTACTAATGGGGAACTAAAAAGGTGGAATTTGTTTAAGGGGAATGTATGTATTTACATATATCAGTGTATTTAAAAAGTAAGGATTTATCACCTTTTTTTGGATCCTTGCCCCCTTTCATGCGCTTGCGTGCCAGTAAAGCTCGCATCATTGATTGTACCTTAATAACCTTTTTTACTTGGACTTCATATAATCTAAAAAAAACATGTTTATAATTAAAAATCAATAAAACAGCTTAAAATATTTTACCTGGCCAAGAACTCATCATTATAATAGCGTAGAAATACTTTGGTTTTTCCAATGGCCCAGCCTTCCATCTTTAAACGTATCAGCAAAAGGCGACAATTCTCCTTGGTGATATCCACGGTTTCGTCAAAATCGAAGGCTAGAAATTGATATCTGCATAAAACAAAAAATACTGTGCTTAGTTACATTTTACATATTACATTAGTCCAAAAATTTCTTATAAAACAGTTGCAAAGTAATTACTAAAGCAAACAAATACGCCGCAAGATTTTAAGCGTTAAAAATTCATATCAAAATATATTCGAAAAAGTATACAGTAAATGCGGGAAATACCATTTAAACCAGGTGATATCTACCAAATCGGATCCATTACACCATTAGTTGTAACAATCGGATACTGTTTACTTGATGTTTTGATAATCAATTACCAAAAACAATGAATTCTAATCTATGCAGTATGACCTAAATGCCTGTTTTTCTAGCCAAAATTAACTTTTTACTTATTTTGTTGCTATATTTTAGGTAATGCGGTAAAACATAGGAAAGTTAAGTTTGTTTTTGTAAAAGCCATAATGTAGTAAACAAACAGCAGTCAAAGGCTACCTATTTTTCTACAATTGAAAATTCGATTGAGCTTAAGCCATAAAATGTAAAGTTTCATTGTTGTTATAAAAATTGTAGAACACATTTTTAAAAAAATTTTGGTAGGGAGACGAAAGCTACGAGTAAGTAGATTTAAATATGTGCGATAGCAAACTATTGCAATTTTGTTTTGGTGCTAAAATCTCATTTTTTGCAACCTAATAAATTACTAGGTTTTTTTTTTAATCTTTACTTCACAAATGCCTGTGAAATTTGGCAAGGTTTGGCAAAGATAAACTTATTAAGGCATAAAAGTACTATATATCTTGTGAGATCTTGTCACCATATTTTGTCTTCCGATTTTTACGATTTCTGAGAAAACGGCTATTTTCGTAGGTTATTTTGGCACTGTCGGAGGGGAGAACTCAATAAAAAGAGGAAACAACATGCTATATACAATTAACCTGCAGCAAAGGTTGCTCCTTTAAATTTTTCAGGTTTTAAATAATAATAATAAATCTATTTTGGCGTTTACAAAATATGTTAGTGTTTAGCCGAGCTTCTCCTCCAATTTGTGGCGTACGCCTTGATGTTGTCCCACAAAGGGGATGGACCTACAGTTTTACGCCGACTCCGAAAGGCGATGGTTTTTTATGAGAAGCTGTTTTCATGGCAGAAATACACTCGGAGGTTTGCCATTGTCTGCCGAGGGGCGACCGCTATTAGACAAAATTTTTTTTTGTGTTTCTTTTTTTTTTTTGATGTTAGCATTAGCATATAGCATAACTTTTTACGGTAAGTGGACCAGTGACCGAACTATTCGAAAAAATCGTATTTATGGTTCGATTTGCCTAGGGGCGACCGCTTTTAGACAAAGATTTTTATTTTCCTTTGTTTTTGATTTTAGTAAGAAACTGGGCTCGATTACTGGCCCCGCGTAATGGTAGTGCGCACTTCTAACCACTACACCACAGGTTTTAAATACAAACTAGTATCGCCCAGTTGTCGAAATTCGACCACTTCACTTTTTTAAACACTCTTTCATTTTCCTGTTAATTAATATAGAGGTAGTAATGCTTCATCTTGATGATGGTTTTGATGTCTATTAGAATTCGAAAATATGTATATGTAATAATATCTGGTCCGCGTACCTGACTAACGTTGTTAGATTGATATACATCTTGTTAAATAATGTAATAATTCTAAGCTAATCTATAAAATTTTTTTTTATCCAAATTAAAGAGAAACATATCGTCGGCTTAGAGTGTAAACCTGCTAAATCCGTTTTTTGGCAAAATTGACATTTTGATGCAGTTCGAAGGAGTAGGCGATTCCGCAGTTGGCAAGCAAAAAAATACGTCAATATAAAAATATAATTGTCAAAAATTGTTTGATGAGTAAAGCTGCTAACTACAATCAGTTCAAATTCAACTGCTAAATCCAACATATTGTGCTTCTGTCCCTCGATTATTGTTCTATCTTAGAGTATTACTTTATGCGTTTAAGCCAAGGTAATAGCCAGCTTTAATTTTTTATATCTCAAGGAAATTATTGTTACTTGTGGAACGAAACAGAAGGAAGATCAAATGCAGAAGAGTTTTCCATCGTGTGGGTAGATTTGATAGAAAGAAATATAGTACCAAATAATAGGTCCGGGGAGCCAATTACAGTAATTTTTTAAAGCGACGAATGCACATATCAAAACCGAAACAGTTAGGGAGTCCACAAGGTGTTGTATACTGTCGTACTGTTGTATGTCATAAACTTTAAACGGCTAAAACTATATTTAAGGAATTCGCAAGCTAACATACAAGTTTTATTGTGAAATTCCACACCACTAAAAAATAGTTGGTGGTGATTTCAAGTCCTCTAAACATTTATTTAGGCGTTAAAAACTTTACGACATACGACAATACGACACTTACGACACCTTGTGAACCACCCAAGTATTATGGCTAATGCTTTTTTATCCGCAGCTATAAATAACAACATCATTATTGAGCAAAAGTTTCTTGAAGTAGGCCATACCCAAATGGAAGCTGATTGTATCTATTCCACTATCGAACGAGCACTTAAGAAAAGATATATCCATGTTCCTGCAGAATACATTGAAGTATGTAGATCAGCTAGAAAAAATCCAAAACCATATGACGTAACTTATCTTAGTTACACGTTCTTTAAAAGCTTTAACACAGTTCAATTCTTTAATAGCATTCGTCCAGCAGCAAAGGTGCTGCTAAAGTAACTGATATACGAGCCCTACGGTATACACCAAGTGGCGACATACATTTCAAACTAAGATTCTCCAACGAATGGGAAGTAATACCGCAAAGAAAATCCCCAGTAGCTGTTTCCTTGCCGTTTTCTCACCTTCCGAATTTATCCGAGAGTAGGCGTACGATTGCTCGCAGAAAGTATGAGATCTCCAGTATTTCAAACGATTACTTCCTGAAGATTACCACGCCTACTATAACAACTTACCTCATGATTGAATAATTTGTATCATACTTTCTGGCATTATTGAGTTCCTACTTAAACTATCTAATATGTGGACTTTGTACTATTAATTTGACAGAGGAATACTTCACGTATAGTTACTAATATATGTTTTATAAACTGCCTATATTTGTTGCAATAAACGGAAGAATAAATCTGTTATAATTTTTATAAATATATATACTAGCTATACCCTGCCACGCTTTGCTGTGGCATATTCCTGTTACATGGATGATAAATTATTAACGAAACAAAACATACGCTTCATATGAGTTTAATTTTGTAATAAGTACTTGTGTGCACACAATATTTGTCGTGTTTCCATTCTCTGCATTGATATCAAGGATATCTGGTTTGCCGACACGGGAACACGCAACATCTAAGAACCAATCCGCATCTCACCCTAAACCACACTTTTCCAAAGGATAACCTTGAGCATTAGTGATTGTGATTCCGAAGGTCAATCGAATTAGGAAATGAAATCTTTAAAATTGAAATGGTGTATCGGTCGGAATCATGGGAATTCTTCACCTTTGAAAGGCCACCACGTAAAAATCTTTACTTACACTACGTTCTTCATCAATTTCTTAACTGCGAGTCGCGTACCGTTGTGGAGTTTTAGTGATTAATATTCCGCAATGTGATAATTGGCATACCTATTTTCAATTCAGAATGTGGGGTCATCCCTGGAAGATCAATCGAGTTCAAAAATTATGTTGGATAACTAACTGATTCATCTTCTTCCACAATGGTGTTTATCGACGCATATGTTACTGTTTAAGCGACTTATGCATTTCCCGCTTAAATAAAGAACAACGAACACACAGACGCACTTGTTTTTAAAGGTACTTCGCTCGTGTTTAATTGGGTATGCATTTTTTATGCAATTCTCAAATATCTCTTCGCTGAACTTAGTGAAGTGATAAGTCGCTGGCATTTTCAGATACGGTCAACGCTAACCCAGCTTGGCTATCACACGGTGCTTTGAGCATCACCCACACTGCACTCCCGGAGTAATTTTTGGCATGGTATTAAGCTACTGCTTACAAACCACACTGGGGCTCTGCACGAATGCATCCCTGGATAAATCCCAGCTCATTGCCCAGCAGCCTAAGCCAGCTAGAGCATGACTCCTCCAATGGAGTCCCACAATGAATACACGGTGAAACGGTCACATCTTGCGCTACCGCTTCATCAGCCTGCCCGCATATCTCTCTCTCTCTCTCTTTCTCTCTCGCATATCAGGCATATTAAGTGCGTGGCTGACTTGATGTGCACCCATAAACCATACGGACTCATTGAGCTCGATACACAAACACCTACCTCCTCAACTACTTTAACTCGACCACAACTCTAAACCTGGACTCGAATCGTCACATACGATATCATATTACTCGTCACGTAAAAACAATTTTTTTAGATTATGACGTACGTGAACGTAGTCTTTGTCTCATTCAGCTTATACTGCCTGACGTATCACGTAATTTTCTTTCGTATGGTTTTCGATCGGTGAACGGATGTTACGATTTGAGTCCTGGTCTCCCGGTCTCCCTCAGCTAAACAGTTGTCACTTTGATTGCTGGATTGANTTTGCACAAAATTTTTTAACAGGTGGCAACCCTCCTTTAAAATATTTTCGACTGTAAGCCTTCTTAAANTCACTGAGCCTGTAATTAATTTTCTTAATTAAGAAACATTCTTTTCATCAGTTCTCCTTTCGATGTTCCTCAGTTACAAAAATTATCAGGCGATGCAATTCGTCTTAGTCTCTCGTTAGCTGGCAGCTTTCAGTTCCCAATGTCCAGTAGTTGTCGCGAAAATCCCTTGGCTGCAGTGTATATATGTATGTTCGTCTAGCCACAATGTTGACTATTGTTAATCAAGAAATTACAGACAATGTTTNTTGTAAGCGTTCTTAACACTCTTTAATTTGATACCCACATTGCAATATTTCATTTACTTAATCAACTTAACTGAGTTAAAATTNAGCCACAATGTTGACTATTGTTAATCAAGAAATTACAGACAATGTTTGCGTAAAATCTCCTGAGGCAATATCAATACATT